CATCCCATGCCTGCCCTCCAGTGGACTGGCAAGGAAGTTTCATTGCTTTCATGTTCTTCCTGGCAGATTTTCCATGGTTGGGAGCGTAACAAACAGGGATCACAGACAGAGATGCCTGAAATACATCGCAACTGTAGGTAAAGACACATTTTGCAATGGTGCATATAACAATGTACTTTATTATTCTGTTTAACCTCTGTCACTTTGCATAGAAATATTATTATCATCAGTAACTTTATTTGACTGAGACATCAAGTATCTTTTAAAAGGGTGGCGTGGCTCAAACATGTTGGAACAGTGCAGCTTAAACCTAACGTGCAAACCAAATGCAGGTCCAAAGAGAGAAACTCAATTAAGTAAAATATTCACAAATTCCAAAGCATGCAAAGCATATGGCACAGCATATCAAGTATCAGTGATGCTTATATAAGGATGTGTCATACCTGTTTAACTTACTCAGAATATAATGCACTATATAATGAGATGGGTGGGTCATGGCAAGACATCTTTGCACCAATTTTTAGGATCAAATAAATACAGGAATAACATTTTCGGCTTAGTTCCATGTCTCTGACGTGATGTTTGACTGTCATCATGAGCATGTTGGTTAATTAAACTGTACAAAGAAGACATAGAGGCTGTATTTTTTCTTGAAGATTTACATATTCCAAATGCGTTAAGTTATTTAAATCCTTTAAGAGTTTAGGTAATTACTATGAAACCCTGATTAGGAATCCACTGCACAAGTCTCTGTTGTGTTTTGAGATTAGGGGCCGTCCATAAATGACGTCACGCGATTTTTGGACGATTTTTGACCCCCCCCCCCCCCCCTCGTTACACGGCGTCACAAAAAGTCAGACCCACCTCAAATATGACGTCACAAAGCTCTGCCCCCCCCCCCCCCAAACCATATTTCCATTTTGAAAATAAAACATGCTTCAAATCGCTTTAAACTATTGTCATTGTAGTGCGTATTTAATGTGGCGCTGCACTCTGATGTTGTAGGAGTGTTGTTATAACAATTAGTGTTGTTATAACAATTCTATAATTATTTAAAGTTGCGCATTTTCATGTGACGTCACATTTCTCAAACCCCCCCCCCCTCGTTACACATCGTCACAAATGTCTGACCCCCCCCCCTAGGTGCGTGACGTCATTTATGGACGGCCCCCTATACCATCGAATACACGTTATAACCCAAAAACACAAATGGAAAATGGTTAGGAATCTGTACCTTATCAGGACACTTTTAAAATTAAGTAATGTTGACTTAAAGCTTTCGTGACTGCAGGAATTCATATTATTTGGGTCTTTCGTAAAGTCACGTAGATAGGTTCAAAGAAATAACAAAAATAACAACACAAGCAGTTGTGTTGAGATCAAAACGTCGTAGTTTTTTGTTATTTTTGTTATTTATTTGAACGTGACTTTACCGAAAGACCCCAAGAATATTGAGTCATGTTATTAACCAAATTGTTAAAATTGCAACAACAAAAAAATACATGCAATTGTTTTTGAAAACCCCTTCCCAATTTTCACATTACCCCTTTGTATCTTACATTAACATTATCCATAAAACTAATATCGTAATTTCATGCATACCCACACTTTTGACATGGGGCTACTTTATTTAAACAAGTGTGTTGTCATTTTCATGTGGCCATGGCAGTTTAGCAAGTATGCTCACTTTGTAAATAACCGATTGTTTTGACTTCCTGTTGAACATGATCGAACGGGTAAAATACTGGGTCAACCGAAGCTGTGCTGCTCTGAAAGCATTCGTTTCTGAGACAATTGTGCATTGCCACACCACTATATTTGAAGGTGACACTGACTTTTAAAACTACAAAAATCTATATCTATGGTCTCACATGGTAGAAATAGAAAAAGTTATTGTATACTGAGGGATTAAACAGTAAAATAAAATCGAATACTCTAAGTGAACTGTGCTAAACTTATGAATAGACCAGCCAGTGCAACACCATTTTATGGCAACAAAATATAACTTTTTGAAGTTCATCATCACCAGCCATTGTGTATCCACTGCTACATGAAAGCCCCCCCCCCCACGCCATAGACATGCCTCACGAAACGGCAATCCCACAATCCATCTCACTACTGCACACTCTTTCTCTGCAGTGGGCGTCCTCTCAGATACATTCCTGTTTTTTGACTAAAAGTCCATGATTGGACTTTTACATTGCCCATCATCACTTTAAGAGATGTGTTCTACACAAGCCCATTTACTTACCTTAAACGTCATTGTTATTTTAATGTGCATGTTCTTCTTTATGTATCTAATTTAATTTCGAAGCACGTTATCTCTCCATTCTCTATTGTGCACCGTCCAGATTTTGATAAATTTTCTCTTTCAGCATCCATGTTTCTGATCCATGTCAGTGGGTAATATGCACTGATAGAAAACGTTCACCTTCAGGCACATTGGTATTTTTCTTTTCATTATCAAATTAAGTTTTCCAAAAGCACGTTATCTTCTGATTGTTTGCCTTTTTTATATCAACATTTGTATTATTATTGACATTTGTATTATCGAGCTTCGATAATTATTGCCCTCGGAAATGGCCTACATGTGTTTTCCAGTCGAGTCCCTCCAACAATTATTGTATTTAGTTTATCAAACACGTGCAATTCTCCGAACTCTCCGAAAATAAAAAAAATGCAATATTTTCCAGAGCTTAATTTCTCATTGAATATGTTCCAGGTCACTGATAAACTTGACTAGACACGTGACTAGTAGCCACACCAACAGCAAAAGTTTCAAGTTTCCGGATGTGGTGTCTCGGTTATCCATTGGGGGAAGTCCATTGGGTAATGAATCACTGTAAGGTCAGCGACCAGAGTTTGATTGCTGTCCACGGCTAACATTTGTAACGAGGGATATATGAACTCCCCCCCCCTGCACCCCCCACTTTACCAACCCACACTGACCAGCATGGTGACATATAAAACTCCACAATCAATGTGATGTGGGGAGGCCTTCATCCAGCAGTGGATTGACGAGGCAGAATTCCCTTTAAAATAAGACACGAGTCAAAATGAATGGAGCCAAGAGAAAATAATGATATATATATTTGGGGTTTCTGGGGTCTTGAATAATACTTATTTTAAAAAATTAAAGACAAACTATTCAAACGTGTATATATGGCTGAAAATTAGAGCAATACAAATTGAGAACATGAAAACATGAATTATAAAACACAATAAAATCAGTTTCCAAGTGAAAAATTACAGAATCCAACAAGAATTTTAAGATCTAGTAAAGCAAAGGCAGTTTTTTATGCAGTGAACCGTGTGCAAATTTAAATTTTCTGAGTCTCATCGGCAGAGTATGCCTTGTAGGGTTCCCATCCCTGGTTTAAGCTTATAAGCCTTTTAAACAGCGGTGCTCAATCCGTGGGTCGCACCTTTTCAGGGGGTGGGTGACAGGCTGTGGCATGGATACCGTGCAAGGTAATTTTGCAATGTCCGCAGGAAACGTCAGCGGCAATGCGGCGACAAAACACACGAATACGCAACACAAAACAAATACCTTTACTAACACCGCATTGACTAGAGGCGTGGACATGTGACCTATCTGTGTATTGTAGCTTTGGTGACCTGGTAGGAGGTGCGAGGACCAGTGGTCTTGATTAGGGGCCGCCATACCAAAATAATTGAGAACCACTGATTATCACAGTTGCTGAACACAGGCTTCATGGTCAAAAAAGCCAAGTAGACAGCAACAAACAGCACTAAATATAACGTTGGAAGACTATGGCGGAAAATTGCTAAGTCTCGCAGTGCGAGGGAAGGAGAGAGAGTGAGACGCGTTTTGTCCGGCAGTGTGATGGTTGAACACAGTATGGATGAGATGACACAGCCTGGTGAGTAGGTGAGGGGGATGGGTGAGTATGGCTAGGAGAGTATCAAACAGTCATCCTGGCAGACCAAGTCCTCCACGTGGGTGGATCAGAATCAGAATCTTTATTTAGACTGGAGGAATCCAATGAACTATGAAGCTCTATTTAGCAGATGTTCAGTATGGGCGGGTCAGCAAATTACAACAGCAAAACTATTATAAAAACTATGGGAGTGCAACATAGATCAAATGGAAAACAGGTCACGAAATATACATACATCATTTATTATTACTTATATATATTTCGTGACGTGGTTTACATTTGATCTATTTTGCACTCCTATAAATAACACATTATTTATGCAAGTCCAATTTATGAAGATTGGGCAAGACAGAAAAAACAACGAAACAGTCCCTGACCACACCAAGATAACATCACACAGCAGTAGTCTCTCAATACAAGGCCATAATAATATATATTGGAGGGACACACATACCCCCCCCCCCCCCCCCCAATATCTTGCTATAAAATAGATTTACGTGTATATGATTGTGGTTATGATTGTACTTTCTTTTTTTAAAAAGAAAAAGCAGAGCAATGTAATACAATACACTATTAGACATTATTGTAAAAAAAATCCATCCTATGTGTTAGTGAATTTTTTTATATTTTAGGCGGGAAATTCGTTTTCAAATTTACATTTTTCCGGGGGGGGACCCCAGACCCTCTGGAAGATTTGGTCCCCCCCTAATGTTGACTCCATGGCTACGGCCTTGCCTCAATACAACGGATGCATAACGTATGAGTGGCGACCACGGAAGCAGCATTTGTTGCAGTAGCGACATAGGAGTGTGTCAAGGAGACGACCGGCCACGTGTCAGCGCATGGCCGCTTTTGTCTCCCCCCCCCCCCCCCCCCCAGTGGCGACGTTTTAACGCACCGCACGAGTCGACCCAGGGTGAACCCCAGGGACCGGTTCAAGATAATCGTCACCGGTATCTGTGGTCGTGAGCGGGAATCGAACTCGGTTCTCGGGGTTCATGTGCGCAGCGCGCTAACCGCTGCACCACCGCTCCCCCACCACACAGACCACGCCCTCTGTGGGCGGAGCGTCCCGGAGAGCGCTCCCATTGGTCAAGGCAACGTCACGACCACCACGCCAACAACAACAACCGCCGTCGCCACGATCAGCCAAAGCCCTCAACCACCACCACCACAAAACCCATCATCATCAACAACAACAACAACCACCACCAAACCCATCCACGCCATCGCCACCCACCCACCGGGCCAGCCAGCCAGCCAGCCATACCACCACCACAACCATCCACATCACCACCGCCAGCCAAATTAAAACCCACGGGGGTCCTCCATGGGCGGCGAGAATTCGCGCCTGTGGAGGAGCAGTTCGCGGGGCCCCAAGAGGCGCTCCGACGGCGGTGTGGACGCGGCCCCCCCGAACGGCACTCGCAAGACGCAGCGATGCAGCCCCGGGGGCCGAGGCTGCTCGGGCTGCTCGACGTGCCGGGCCGAGGCGGCGCAGAGCCCCGGGAGGAGCGTGGCCCAGGCCGGGGTCCGATGCTCGGCTAGGCCGCGTTTGGTGCTCACGAGGCGAAGGTGAGTGAGGTTTGTGGCTTCAGTGATGGATGTGTGACGTTCACTTGAGGTGTTAGCGGTGGGGACATTTTCGTTTCGGATCAGGCGCTGTGTGTAATTGCAACTGGGCCACGGGCGTGATGATGGTGTGTTTGTTTTAAGTGTGCAGCGAAAGGGAGCTTTAATGCCCTGTTTCAACGCTTTTGTTACAACGCCACAATGGCAAGGTGTTTAGAGTACAGCTGCGAACACGGTGAATTCAGTGGAAGGATAGGATACATGTAAGCATCTTGGAGATTCGTTGTTGCATGTGTGTAGGTTGATGGTGTGAGTCTGGTTGAAGGGAATGGTAAACAACTTTGGACGTTTCGGAATTAAATGGTTACCGTCATATAGTACTGGACTCGAGTGAATGACGCTTTGAGGTTTTGTTAGATTCTCTATCGAGTTGTTGGCCTGCGGGCGTTTGGTTACAGGTGTTGTTAGTGGAAGGTGATGTGAGTTTGAGCGAAGGATGTGGGCAAACAACTTGGGGGGGTTAGAAGAGAGGCAAAGAGACACGTACGGAGGGATGTGAGAGAGACGTGTGATATGAAATATTCAATGATGCGTGTTGACAGCGAGTGTGCGAATTACTGACGAGGGGTCGATGGTTTGTCTTGAAGCCTTCGTGTGCAGCTCCTTAGCAGAGGGTGTTGTGCATTTTATGGCAAAATGGGGGGAAACAAAACTTGGAGGTTCAGAAAATCAGAATGTGACAAGTCACTTCCTGGGACTTTCCTTGCCAGCATCAACGTATAAGAATTGGTTTTACCCTTTCTTGCAATAAAGACAGGTGTTAAAACACCAAACAAACCTTTTCCAAAGAATCATGTCTGCATTACCCACACATACTTGTGAACATGCTGATAAAAAAGATGCTCTGGTAATAATCTGTGCATTGTATTTAAAATAAAGCTGTCTATCTTGTGGACCAATCCGTTTCCAAGACAATGCAAATTTATTACCAGATCATGTTTTTGTTTGCCTGTTCACCACAATGTATGGTTAATGCAGACATGATTCCTTGCAAAAGGTTTCTGTTTCGTGTTTTAACGTCTTAACACACCTGTTTTATTGCCAGAAAGGGTAAAAGCAATTCTTAAACATTGCCTTTGTTCTGAGTCCACAATGGCTTTTAACATATGAGTAGCACTGCCATCTCCGCTGTGTGGATGTAATCACGAGAGAGGAAATTAAGTTGGGTGGGACATGCTTAGAATGGAGGAGGACATGTTACAGGGACATGAATGCCAGATGGAAACACAGCAACATGTCGAATACAGTAAGAGGAGATCTTGGAGGTCGTGTTAACAACTGCAAGGTTCTGGCATAGGGGAGAAAGTGATGGCAAGGTTTCGTGCCTTCAGAGGCATTGGTAATGATGACCTCTTGACCTCAACCTTGTCATCATTAAGGCCACCAATAGTACCGAATACATGCTGCTTAAGACAATAGCTCTTCGTGGAAATGGCCCTGCTAAAGACGGCGATACAGTACTACAATGTACACGTGTAGTAGTATCACTACCGCAATTTTTCCATTTGAAAGTAATGGTTAAATAAGTAAACACAATTAATTTAAAGATCGGTCATTAAAATCCGAGTCGGGTTTGGATTTGGCCCATTGTCATCTCTCTGGAATCAAGAGCTCTCCAAATGCACTGTATGAAAGAATATATCTTGTTGACAAGGAAATTATGCCTCTAGCTACAGTATTCAAGTCTGCTGTTAAAGTCTTTTGTAGGCTCAACACGTGATTATAGCGCACCCTCCGCCCCTCCGATTAGCACATTTGGCTACGTACTATGCTAAAGAAGTTCAACATACATACACTTCACCTCGGCTGTCGTTGCTATAGCCCAGCAATACCTCCTGACATCAGCTTTTGTTGCATTGCTTCTCACTTCCTGCTGTTTACACTTTTTCTAAGGAGATCCTGTGATTCACTGCTTTGGAACTTAATCAATCCAGCCTCAAGAACCTTATGAACATTTTGAAATTGATGCGATCTTCTGTGTTGTGTTACTTCTATCATAAAATTGGCCCCTAAAGTGACAATGTAGTTACTGTGCTATGTGTACAGTAATATAGCAGGTTTACCTAATCCAGCCACACACCCATGCTATACATACACTAATTTACTTACTCACGAATCGAGCCAGTCTCATAACACTTGTTTGGACTGTCTTCATTACACTCTTGTTAAAATGTATATCAGCATTCAAAGCTCACACCAGATAGCAATGCAATGGAGCTTTAATGCCCGTCTTAAAATTGTACTCATTTGCCATTGACCACCGGTGTGCTGTTGTGTAACCACTCAGCTCGATGTACTTTGATGAGGATGGAGACCTGGCACATGAGTTTTACGAGGAGAAGTTGGTGAACAGCAATGGGAAGCGCAGAGCAAAGTTGCTCCGGCTGTGCCAAAATCTCATTCCGCAGGTGAGCAGAATGACTGGCCTATCAAGTCAAGCTTATGCCTATAAATCCCTCACAGGTGCACCCGGTGACTCGGAGGTCAAATCGTTGAGCTGTCACCACTGAAATCTTGGCTTTGAATCCAGGCAGCTGCCTGTGATTAAACCAAAATCTCGCGCAATGGTAGTGTGTTGATGATCTCAACTCGGTCACCAATGATTGCAAAAAGCAAATACCCATCACGTAATATTTTGTTCTGCAAATAATTTGGCTAAGTTCCAGCTCTAAGAAATAAAATATTGGTCTGGCATACAACTCTCATATGCAGAGTGGGTGGGAAAGAACTGCCCTCTACTGCGTGAACCAGAAGTCACTTGAGATCTTTAATACATCTCAGGACATGGATAAAATTGATTTTAAAAGTAACAAGACATTTAATCCCCCACATAATCGGATCAGTACTCCCAACACTCTTCAAGTACCTGGGTAACCTCGTACACAATGCAACCGCCACTGAACCAGCATTCATGAGGTGAGTAGTTCAATTCCAGCATCTGGATTGTCCTTTCAGCTGGCCTTCAATAGAATGCTGTCTTGTTGAAGTTGGACATTTAAGAAACAGCCAAGTTAGTAACACAGAGTTTCGATTAAAAAGCAAAATAAATCATTAAACGTATTTGAATGACAATTGTGTACATTTTTATTTGGTGAGTTACTTCCTGTTTTCCAAAGCAAAATTATTTCTCAACAGCCCACTACCAACACTGTCCTGTGTTTGTTTTTCATATAAGCATCCTGATTTGAGCAGTCTGTGGCTGCATGGAATTTGTCACGTGTAACCTATATCTCGTCATTCACTGCATAGTAAATACATTTTGGCAAAACTATGAAGAGCTAACAACTATTATTGAGTTTGTGAGTGGAATACTTATTTTGGATAGCTGTATACATTTTTACTTGTTCTATTTATTTTTCTATATAATGTTACAATCAAAGCGCACATACTTGAAGTAAGTACATTGAAAATCGAGTAGGTGATAATTTGCAAGAAAAATTCATTGTTGTTGTAAGTCCAACCCTTGACTTGTAAACTGTCTCTACATACCCTACAAAAATATAATAACCTTTATTGTTAAATGAGATAAATGATGTTATTTTTGAAGAGGGATAATGAATGGGCTCTTGCCTTGATTAAACAAATGTAATTGCGTTTGGCAAAGTACTCTATTTTGGTCAGGCCTTTTCATGATGCAAGCTTTGCTGTGTGTGTGTGTCTGTGTATGTTTGTGTGAAACACGTGCACTTTCTGACAGGGCATGGTGCGGCTGGAATCACCCACGCATCCATGTGGACTTCCCAGTGGTGATTTGTGACGCCCGCCCCGATTGTAACCAAAGAGGAGACTAAAGGACGTGGCATTACAACACAAGCCATTCATCTGAGGGCCACCATGCCTGGGATTCAGTTAACATGACATTTTAGGATATTCTATTTACAAAACGTCTAACTTTAGATTAATTTTCCAGTCATAACTATTATCACAACTAAACAAAGACACTCTGTGCGGTCAAGAGCATGGATAAGTGGTCTTCAATAGTTTGTTGCAAGGCACGTATAATCTTACTGGAAATTGCAATGTGTCACTTTCATAATAGTCACATAGCAAATGTTTTCACAACTTTAAGGGAGCATGCCAATGCGTCCTTTTAACTGAAACCTACGGCTGTGGAGTGGCTTTTGCATCACTTCCCACGTGATGCAGCCACCTTGATGCCCTGCCGCCATACATCAGAACGTGCAGGCCATTTCATCATCGCGGAGCGAGTAAAAGGAAGTGAGTCCCAGCCACTTGGTGACACATATAGCCTACCCTTTGTAACCCTTTCAGAAATTGAGAGAGATCTACTCCAAGCAAACGCAGATGAACCAGAGAGTAGACACAACTTGCAGGTGTGAAGGCGGACTAGTGTGCATATATATATCTGCCAAACGCGAAGTTGGCTACATTCGGTGCGAAAGAAGTTCAACATACAGACTTATGGCAGGGGGTAAAGGTACTGGCCGCACCCACCTGAATTCTGGCAGTCATCTACTCCAGGGTGGTACTCGTGCAGATTCCCTAGATGGATTACAGGGCCATTGGTGTTACTGTATCGTCTTGCTTGACTTTGCGTGTACAGGTGGTAGAAAACATGCATTCAAAAATGCATTCTGTGGTGAAGCATAGTCGTGGTATATGTTATGGAAATGCTATGAAAGATTGCCCTTGCTCTCATGTGATCAGTGCAGAATAGTTAATGCATTCGATTATGATGGTCATGGCGAGCGTTGATGATGCACTATTTAGTGTTCCCGCCACTCGAATGTGAACGCCTGTGATGTCGGTGTGACATACAGGTGTTGTGCAGGCAGAGGGCGCTGTTGTACAATTGTTTCAGTTTATAACATCGCAAGGTTAATAATAATAATAGTACAATTTGTAACGCGCGCAAATTTGCAGACGTAGTGGCCGCAACTCAAATGCATATACGTAGTAAGTGTTGTTGAGCAGTGAAAATTGTGTCCACTCTGCAATATGGTGTACAGTTTGTTATACTTTAAGCAGAGCATAAGAGTGAAGGGAGATACATGGCACTAGGGAGATATGTTAAATGGTTTAGCAGGTCGGTTAGCTTCGTGTTCGATAACACCACTTAGGCAATGCACAAGACGTCAACAAATTGTTTAATTTCCCTTTGCCCTGGCGTTAATATCAGTGGAATATTATCAAATTATGCCGCTGTCTTTGCATTACACGTGAAAGATCTTGACATTCACAATATGAATACGGGTATTGTAACTAGAAATCCCAATTATTCTTAATTGCTTGAAACTAAATTCAAAGCAGTTAATATGTTTTTCTAAGTCAATCCTATATACCCATGCCCCCTTTGACAGGGATATAGAGCGGACAGAAACCTTGAGTGAAAAACATTTATTTATTGTAGGTTTGGAAGTTGCACTTACTTTAGACATTGTCTAAATTATTTATTTTCTCCGATAACTCGAAGTGTGGCATTCGGCCACTTTAATGTGGCCTACGTTAAAGTGAGCTGTCTATTCCTGAACTAAGTGATGTTACCAGCTATTGGCAAAGCTTCATGTTTGAAAGTTTATGGGAAGGACTGTTTTCAAGCAAAGTCCCCCTGTTGTATGAATCCAACACAATTTGTTTTGGAACCACATGCAACGAATTAACTTTGCTTTAAAAAAATCCAACATGTGTCAACAATGTTGAGATATCTGGTTTTTTTACTATTGCTACTGGATTAAAGGGAGTCACTCTGTGTTTTTGTATCTGTGAAAAGCTTTTCCGCCTTGCAAAATGTAACACTTGCAGACGGTGGGCCACTGTGAGCCTTGATCGCTCGCAGTTTGATTGCTACAGCTCCGGCGTCGTGAATATCTTAAGTAATTAGTCCATATTTTCGTAATTTTAGTTTTGTCACTTATGAACGGCAAGACTGCGATATTGAGTCGAGCAGGTAAAATGACCAATGCCAATAACCAATTGATCCGGAAATGCACCCCATCTTGTGGCATCTCAGCAGTGAAGGAGGGTTGAACCTGGATTGTGCTGGAATAGGAGACACCCATGCACAACAACAAATTTCACTGGCCGTGAGGCTACATTGTGGGCAGCAGAATATTTCAACAAAATCAATTGTTCTACCGTACTTCTATGCTCCCACTTTTGTGCTCCTCGCCTTCGCCAACCCCCAATGACGAACGTGCTGAAGTATGGTCATATAACCCCTACGACCCACACGATCAATCCGGGAGTCGATTGCCACAATGGGCTGACACAAACCGACCAATATTTCAACTGGATTCCATTGGTGTCGAAGTAAAAAATAATACCATTCTGCTGAGGTGTGGACTCGAGTCATGTGACTTGGACTCGAGTCAGACTCGAGTCATGAATTTGATGACTTCAGACTCGACTTGGACTTGCATAACAATGACTTTGTCCCACCTCTGAGGTGTGGACTCGAGTCATGTGACTTGGACTCGAGTCAGACTCGAGTCATGAATTTGATGACTTCAGACTCGACTTGGACTTGCATAACAATGACTTTGTCCCACCTCTGAGGTGTGGACTCGAGTCATGTGACTTGGACTCGAGTCAGACTCGAGTCATGAATTTGATGACTTCAGACTCGACTTGGACTTGCATAACAATGACTTTGTCCCACCTCTGAGGTGTGGACTCGAGTCATGTGACTTGGACTCGAGTCAGACTCGAGTCATGAATTTGATGACTTCAGACTCGACTTGGACTTGCATAACAATGACTTTGTCCCACCTCTGCCATTCTGCAGTTGTATAATTGGCGTTTTACTTTTCCAGATAGCCAATTGATATAGTTAGGACTCTTATAGGATACTCCCCATTTGGCTTTAGTTTCTAAAATTATTTTCTTTTCTGAGATTTGTTAACTGCTGTGAATGTTAACTCAACCACACCAAGTTGTCGAGCCGCACACTCTAAAGTCACCCATCGCCGCCCAGTTTCACGGGAGGGTGTTGTGGAGCAACTAAGCCTTCACACCAACACTTCAGCCAAATGCGTCTCTTTTGAGCCTAACTTGCATAAGCCTAAATGATAAAAGTACAGTACAGAGGTATTATCTAGGAAATGTATTTAAATATACTTGCAGAGTACACTAAACCATATTTCAATTTTCGCCAGATAAATTTAAATTCCTTTGGGCTGGTTAACATTTGTCACATTTTTCCAGAACACAACAGTTTAGTCTAATTTCCATACAGAAACACTGGATTGGATACAAAAGGTTTTTGTACGCCAGTTAACATTCTTCCCTGGGTGGGCACTGTTGGGGCAAATGGGTTGCCTTTTGGTGATGTAATGCTCCCCTTTCCCACTTAAACACAATGTGTATTAAACTCTTATCACACCTTCACGAGTGCTCTTTGTTGCTGGCTGCTAAACGTTTTGGCCGTGTTCTCAGCGACAGTGATTTTAACAAAGGCTCCCACGACAAAGAGGTCACCCAATTTCTATATTTTTTGTGAGAAATGTACTTGTGTTGCCTCCGAAACGTCGTGATTTTTATTTTCATTTTTTTTATTTTGATGTTTTACTTACGTGACTTAACCGAAAAAACCTAAGAATATGAATCTTTGCAGTCACGAAAGCTTCAAATCTAGAAGAAATGTATAATTCAAAAGTTGTCTGCCTGAGACCTGGGCTGTGAGAGTCCTTTAAATTGTACGGTGTGCAGGTTATTGTGGTAATGCATTTTTAATTTAGTGGCAATTATTCACAAGACAATCCAGTCAACTTCAGCTATACTATGCCTACTTTGCTGTGCCATATTATGGTAAAGCTCAGTTTTGTTCGGCCATCTTCATTTAACGTGTGTTCGCTAAGTAAAATTGTGCATATTGACCAAGCTAGTTTTAAGAGTTTCATAAGCTGCTGCATTCAAAGGTTAGCCAGTCGGGTCAATCGTTCCGTTTTAAACAGTGGAGGCAATCCTTATTTTGGCAACTCGAGCACTGCCTGCTCACCTCATCAAAGACGTTTCTAAATTGAAAAATGATTTCTCTAGAACTGCTTTTTGCGTCTTGATTTTTTTCCTCCTTCCCCCGCACCTCCGATTAACACGGTTGGCTGCTTACGGTGTGAAGGCAGTTCAACGTAGAGTAACAAAGCTTTCACAATCTCGGCGCCTGCATTTGTGCGTTGTATTTGTGCACACGCGTGTTCATGCGCATGCGCGTGCGTTTACATGCGGTATATGTGTGAAGTTTGTAACGTAAGCTGTCCCAAATTGCGAGGGACCTTAACTCCTTGAATCATATGTTTTATGTATGAACAGGGTGACTTGATGTACTTATTAAATTATCTAGACTTAAATTGTAATGGTAATAGCCGCAAACTGAGAAATACAAATACAATTGTGTTGCACTGCTTTATTCTTTGTGCTGTAGGTGGGGTAATGTATTAATTTTAAGAATAAACTGTTTTGTGTTCATTCTGTTGTAAATGTGATCGTTTACAATGACTGTTTGTGTGTTTTGGATTAAATGTATAAATTTCACATTTAACTACACTCTAGTGTATATGACTGCTGCTAAATCGTACAATTGGAGCCTTGTTACAACAAACTCAATTCATAGAAATGAACGTGTGTATATTTAACCACACCCAGTGGCCAATGGACAAAATAGATTACGTTGGAACATAGTGGGAGACCATCTGTAACGAATTATAAGGTTACGTTTCATTTTTTTGAATGCTAGAGTAGACAACAAAGAAAGTGCTTTTCTGATTCTGCAGTTTATTGTATTATGTACCGAGAAGATTTGAGAGCCATAGATTAGTATTTAACTCTATCCCCGAGTTGCCATCCAATTATATACATAATGCCCCATGGCTGACATCACATGGGGTTGCCTTCATCGAGCAGTGGAATTACAAAGAGCTGTAAGAGCAGCAGCATACGTTTGTTTCATCTGGCAATTAGGCTTTAGGTGGCTGGTTATTCAGATCACCAGAATGTTCACCATTGAGCCGGCTTATTGGAGCTGATGAGTCACTTCAATATTCCTCTCCTAAGGTCAGTGTTGAACTATTCACGAGAATAGGCACATCGACAGGACAGTTCACAGACACGCACTCGCTGTCAAATACAACAATTCAAAGCGTATACACAATTGGATCGTCGTTGAATTGTGCATACATTGTACAATGTTCGACGCATGTACAGCAATGACCTAATCACTAGTGTAGCGTGCAAGAAACCTGTAAACTTTGCCCAAAGTGTTTTTGTTTGTCGGCTGTTTCACTGTGCCCTTCTGCTTGCAGAACAAAACAAACTTATATTTATAGTGGCAGGCTGTGCCTAATGTACGTCTCATCCTGCATTCCCATGCAAATGAAAACAAGCAGCAATTAAATCTGCCCTGGGGAAATACAAATATGACGCCGGCCAGACGAGTTTTTTTTGGCATTGCTGGTACACTGATGAACAAAATCAAAACCATCTTCTTTGATTTTCAGTAAATTAGGAAATCCTACTTGCGCACGAAACATTCTGTGGTGGAGTTGGTGTGGGGAAGACGTTTGTCAAAACAAAACTCGAATGCCGATTGTATTTTACCAGGAAATTGTCATTAGCAGGACAGTGCGGTGTAATTTCGATTCCGTGACCCACTGGGGACTGAGGTCTGGGCGGGTATGTGAACATCGGCACGGTGACCCAGATGTCTTGGGACCCCCATTTAATTCTCTAACCCCTAATACTGTTGCTGTATGCCAACGGGTTTGGAAACAAATGAATAAGCAAAAGTAAAAATGTCAGGGGTCAATTATTTGAGGGGTCACAGGACATCTGGTAAAACCCTGTCGAGTAAATAAGTTACGCCAGTTTAACCCGTAGGATTTCGCCACCAATATCGATAATATAGGTTATTTTGGGTTAGATTTACGTAAATATAAATGCGTCGTTAAACCCGCCACCACCTGACACAACTGGTTACGGTTAGTAAGGTTTGCCACGTAAATAAAACACGCCAATCCGTTACTAATTCAACACACCGGTGTGTTGGAGAGTAAACCCACAACATTTACAATTCGATTCATAGTACGACGTTTCGCCGGTAGTTATACCACCATGCACAAATAGGTTACTGGACAACAAAACAATTGTGCAGCCTGTTTTAAACCACGGGAACGCGCCTCACTGTGCTATAGAAAGGGAGCGTACATGAGATTAATAATGCACATAACTGTGAAATGTTAACATCTACAGCATAAACATTGACGGCTACACCGAGCACACAAACTGCGCTTGGTCTGGGCTAAGGGCTCCAGAGCTCCGCATGCTGCCCTTTAAACGCACTGGCTTCGTGGCGTTATTAATTCAGGTTAAGGAGCGCCGTCTCGGATTCAACACGTGCATTGGCGGCTCTTTAAATATTGAGGGTGGCTTTTCTTTTTTTACCGAATTCAAAAATAAAAAACTAACCCGTAAAAACAAAGTTTTTCACTATAAATCCTTTATATGCGTGGCGGCTAGAGTCCTCTCGTCCTCTGGCTTGAGATGGCTGCCACCATTAAGCAATTGGTAATTAAATATAATTTTTTTAATTCCTAAAAGTGTAAAGTTATGGGAAAAAAATTTCACGAAAATAAATTGTCACGCACAACGAGTCTGTGTGCAAAATGTCAGCTCGATTGGATCACGGGAAGTGGGTTAAAAAACGACCGAAATATTTGCACGTTCGTAAGCGCGCAAGCAAGCAAGTGAACTTAATATGAAGGATTTTAAAATGCCTGCTCTTGTTATTTTGGTTGCCAACCGCCCTAATTTTTGGGCGGTTAATTGGTTCGTGTGGATTAATAACGTCCGGATATTCGACGTCATTTATATAGGAAAGGTAATAATGGGGAGCTTTTAATTTGACACATTAAACCTCAGAAGTTGCGAAAAGTCCTCTTGAGGAATCAACGCACTCGCTTAAATTGATTCCATCAGGGGTAACCCCAGTTTGAATTGCCTATTAGGCGTCCGTGACGTTTAATCACACGTATTCTGAACGCGAATACCATTTGCTGGCTGCTTGCGTCCTCGTGCTAAAGTAGACACTCGCTAATTTCCTGAACACCCTGCAATTGCAATGTTAACAGACTTCGCATTGCACATGGCCTCTTAAGTTTAAACAAGTGTTAACACGTGTGCTCTCGCCATAACATTGAAAAATCCCTTCCAAAGGGCATTCCCTCTTTAGAATGTCTATTCCACGCTCACCCCTATACTCCTTTCACAAATGTGGATGCTTGTCATTCAAGCAGGGCCTCTATTTTTTCCATTGTCTCCACGCCGTTTAATGTTGTCTCAAAGGCTGAAAGAGATCCGGACATAAAAGACCTTGGGTTGCACGTGTTCCACATTCCACCAAGTGAAGATACCACGAACACCCTTTTGGGAAAACAGGTCTCTCATTCTACAGTACTGAATGCCACAAAACACGCTGAACTGTGTATATGTTGCCTAATTGTTACTGCACTATCGCACGTACAATCGTTTGGTTGGCATGTATTTGAAAGTAAATCTGTAGCCCTGCAGTTAATTATTTGCTCGTGCCATCAGCTGACAGATGTCTTTACCAGGTTGGCTCTCGAGTGCTCCTTCAGATGGTACTTGGCCTACTCTTCCACGCCGGTAGAATCCCATAACTTTACCCCACCGCACGCAACCTGCCAATGAACTGACAGGGGCCACGGTGGCGAGATGTTAACTACCTTGCCTGGTATACAGGAGGTCGTGGGTTCGATCCCGACCCTGCCGCCTGTGGATTTTTATCCGGGTCCTCCGGTTTTTCACTACACATTTAAAATCAACATGCGTTTATTAGAGTATTTGGTTGCTATAAATTCCCAGGCGATATGCCACTTGGTTGAGCTTTCACTTGTGGCCAGGTCGTTTCTGAAAAAGAGCTACATAGCTCAGTTGGGCCTTAGCTGGTAAAATAACAAAGTGTTCCGTTTAGTAAAACTGTGCTGTACTCACACTGCTGGGTGGACAGAGGCGGTGGGAGAGATTTAAGAAACGCGCCGCTGTTTCAACTTCCAGAGCGGGAAGTGGAACGGGCAAGTCCAGCGTGCTAACAACCATTGCAGCAGTGGTCACAATGAAAGCGGACGGCGACGGAATCACCGATCTTGCTGATTTTAGCCAATCAAATGAAGGGGGGGGGGGAGGTTGTCACATCATTGCTCAAGCCACCGATCGATTGGCAATGAAGCGACACAGCGATTAGCCCGCAAATTACGATCAACCCGGTATTTTTTATGTTTGTTTTATTGTGTCGACTGGAGCAGAATCCATACCATTTAATCGCGATTAATAATCCACAGTACCATACATGGGCAAATCTCTGATGGGCGATGTTGTCGTATTCCAAGCACGTTCAGGCACACGCTAAACAAATACCACAACGCTCGTTTTTCTTTGCAAAACATTTTTATTGCGTTTTATTAGAAACAGTGCAAAGGCCTGCTGCACGCTTTATTTTCACAGGTGGCACCGTTAAAAGTTTGTCCTTTAGTGCGCGTGCCGTACACTTCTCAACAACGCAAGTCCAATACAAAAAAAACGCACTTCCTTCGTTATAAATAGGCTTTGGTCAAGGTGGGGGTCGGGGGGTGAGTCGCATTTGTGAGCAACAGAAAGAACAAGGGACAAACATATACAAATACAGTAACTTATTACAAAATAATACCAATATAGAAATCCTTAGAAACAGCAATAACATTGTTCCCCAATTGCCTCTACGTTTAAAGATTTTTTTTATACATCTAGTACCATTTATTTATTTATACTGTTCAACAGTAAACATTACCTACGGGGATTATTTTAATCGCTCTATATACACGCTCGATATATGTTGACTTGGGTGCAGCAATGACAGATTCAATTAAGGGCATCGTAAAAACCAAATCCATGCGAGTGTAAAAGCGAGACCGACATGAATGCCAAACGATTAATGGTTGCGAAGAGTCACCTCTCGAGTCGTCATTTATAATCTCAATGTATTCACTTAAAATAATTCCAATTTAATGAATAACACTCGCATGTGATTGGCCACACGCCCCTCCAATACGGCCACCACTTTATTTTAAAGTAGCACAAACTGCGGCGTCACTTAAAGCCAAAGTTAAAACAGTGCAACTCTTATTTACCACTTTGTTTACAACAAAAAACACACCAGTGCAATCAGGAAATTGTAACTGGCAACATCTGCAAGAAGACTGTGGTAGCCAAAATGTTGTAATTTAAAGTACAGTGCTATGTTCATTTTTAGAAGAATGATCGCCCACCCGCAGTTTCACTCGAGTCTAAACAACATCAACGTTTGCTGGAGAGCCATTGCAGGCCGGCGTCACGGTCACATGTATTTTACTTTTATTAATTTAATTTTTTTACCTACGTGACTTTACCGAAAAAACCTAAGCATATGTGGAGAATCACCAAATATTCGTGAATCACCACATAGGCCCCTCCACCCACTGCTCGATGGGACATGGGCCCAGGAACCTGGGACCCCCACCCATATAACGGAGATTAGACGGAGCCTTATATCCCAAACGTCACGCCGTGGCATGCAGCACTCAACGTCGGGGATGATAATAATATGGTCGAACTTAGGACAGATAGCACGCGCTGCTGGGATGGCCACGTGTCATTTGCGTCGCGGCCATCAAATGCCTGCCACGGAGCAGATAAGTGCAACGCACGCGGCCAAGCTGCCCAACACCGACTTTGCCCAAATAAGCCTTTGCCTTCCACGCGGTGACTTATTGCATGTACATATAAGGCACTGGAGTGGGGCTTCTTGTATGGCCCCCCCCCCACTCACCGACGTGCATTGCTGCCCAGCTGTCAACCCCCCCCCCCTGCCTCGCCTCCACGTGTCCCCTCTCACATGGGCCCCAAGCCAAAAACGACGTGAAAGCCACCTCTGTACGGCTTGGGCAGCAGGGCAAGCCGTGGGGCCTCTCTTTAAGAGAGAATGCATTGAAATTGGGCACCGAATGCTGCTCAGTCCACTCCCCCCACCTCCCACCAACTATACCATGACCGCACTTGCCTCCTGCTTCCGAGAACTGCGGACTAATGGACGCAACTTCGTTTGCAGATCGAATGAAAGGGTGTTGGCTCTTGACAGTTTGATTGATTTAATTGGCCCTGGAGCTTTTAAACACCCAAGTGAACCGAACGCAGGCATATTTTACCGAAAAAACACTTATTGATTTGTCAGAAAAATGATAATTGTACACAACTGTACGAGTTTAAATCGCGTTTCTCAGCATTACTAAATTCATGCAATGTGTTGCCAAATTCTCCCCCCACTTATTTTTTCTGACGAGCTACTCTCTTATAAGTCACTCAATAGTCGTAGCCTTTGCTCTCTGACAACTCGGGCACTTAAAATCGAGAATTGTGGATGTGGGTCTTCGTAAAACATTCGTGTAAGTGTTTTTTTCTTTAAATATAATATTTGCTTAGAGACGCGGTCAATAGGAGAGCCAGAGAATTGAGGCGTCACTTTTGATTGCAATTCTTTCTACAGCGGGGATGCGCCCATTTGCTACAACAAAACAAAAATCATGCTACGTTATTATAAACCAACACCCTATAAATAATATTCACCTATGTAACGCATTGCATACATTACTGGATATTTATGTATAGACTGTGCCGAACACATTATTCACACCCTGCATGCTACCGCGCCATATAAAGTTTGATTGGTCTCCTTGCAAAAATGAATCTCGATAATTTTGCTAAATATTAGCGTGGGTGAGCTGTCGCGAATTAGGCTTATAAACAATTATCAATCTCAATATTTTTGTAGGAATCGGCTATCAGAATGCCTACATAGAGATTGTACCTCCAATTAGTATGGTTGGCTACATATGGTTCAAAAGAAGTTCAACATACTTACATGCCTAAAAGATCAAACAGGATTTTTTGTGTTATTGTAACATGACCATGCATTCTAATGGGTGTCTGCACCAATGTAATGCCTAATGAATAAAGAACCTAAGAACGTTAGATGCGGATAATGTAATTTCCAGGCCAATTAAACACCAAGATCACAATTACCCCTCGTGTCGACCCCTCATTAACCCTCACATTATCACCAGCCACGACTCCTTCCCACCGTTAGCGGCTAATGCTGATAAATACATGTGCAATTAATCATCTGTAACCCCCCCCCACCCTCCCCCAGGGAACAGCCTACGAGAGAGCCTTCAATGTATCGCAAGTATTGCCGCCTCGAATGAACCAAACGTCCAGACGACAACAAACAAACAAACAAGAAAGCGCCTCCATCCTTTGAGTCACTCAAATTTGTGAGAGACACAAAACGACACGGGGGGGGGGAGCGCGGCCACCGCCGCCGCCCACGAATTTTGTTTCTGCGAGTTTTTGTTCACTCGATTTTCTTCATCGGTGTGGTGAAGTATGGTCAAACGATCCTCACCGCTATGTGGGGGAGGCCATCATCCAGTAGTGGATGGATCGTGGCCGATGATGGTCATAACCAATGACGATGAACAACAGTGGCGCTACCGCAGATTTCGAATCCCCGTGATTAATGATAAAACTGCTGCTGGCAACAGCTTAAATGGTCGCGTTTAAAACCTCATTCGCCGCATCGCCACGTGTCGAGGTTGGTCAGCTTGCAACGGGGGCTCCGACGTAACATTAACCGCGGCGGCTGTCAGCTTGACAGGTGAACGCCCACGCTGCGCGTTCGTAAAGTAAAATAAAACATTATTCCATTCCCCAGAGCTTTTAACAACTGTACGTACATGGGGGGGTTAGGGGGGGCATTTCAGACATTCACCAGGCCACTCCCCGACAGCCGCCCGTCCACTTGCTCACTCGCCAACCACGACGTGAACATGTATAAACATTGCTGCTCAAGCCTTGCCATACGATACACGAAGAGCACGAGACAGACAGAACAGGCATTACCATTCACTGTGCAGAGAGTTCCACCTGTTCAGATTTTGGCAACGCTTACTCCAATTTGGGCAATCGTTGTCGCGCATCGGTGAAGCTTTCTTAGCGAATCATGTTTCAACAATTATTGTTTAGCCACTCAAAAGCTGAAAATGTGGAACACCCAACACGGACATGCACATTTTCAGAACATATTTCAAAAACTCAAGTTACATTTTCAATTGATTGCAAAGTGGCTTGGCACTTAAAGCAGAATTAAATTCACTAACAGCCCAATAGTTGCTGCTTATAAAATTATTACCAAAACTACTCGTATTTACTTCTCATTTACAGTTGTATCCGTTTACTGAACTGTATTACTTATTTAAATACAATATTAACTTATATCGACCTACGGGGAGAAGAATTCCCCTCGAGCATGCAAGATTAAGGTGAATAAACCTCCCGGCTACCGCGTGTGTGCGTGCGTGTGCGCTCGTCTATGGCAGAGACAACACTCGTTCCAACCCCAGTAGTGTCGTCGATAGCCCTTGTGATCCAGCAGGCAGGTCCCTCCCCAAGCCCTTCCATTCCCCACTTCTAAGACCTAATTATTTCCTACCGACTTAATCTAAGCAGTCTCGAAACATGCCACGCAAATTAGTTCATCAGAACCAGCGTAGAACACTCGTCGTATTGCACATCCATAACATTCCTTTTGTTTATATAATCTGTTCATATTTTTCTACAATCCCACTTATAGCCACTTTTAGCACAAATCTATCTGCCACGTGTCCTGGCCCACCGGCCAGGCAGGAGACCCACGACAAGTTGGGTATAAAGCCACACACGGGAGTAATCTCGGGTGTCGTCAACGTCGCATTTGCACCCCCACGGAGTTCCATGGCTCCAAGATAAACAAGGGCAAGGAAACATTCTAACGATTACCACCTACCGTCCCCTCCCCTATGCCGATGATGAGAGTCACTATTCCTCCATATTGCACATCACTTGGAGGAAGCACTAAGAGCAGCAAGGGCACAAAATGTCCTCTGGGTGGGGGGACTTCAATGTCCTCCACCACCACCACTGACCAAGTCTAGAAGGACACAACTGCCAGACCGGGACTTGAACTTGAACTTGTGGCAGGCGGTTTGAGAACCAACACGAGGGGAGTGACTAACCTGACCTTTGTCATCACGAATCTACCTCTCGCAGATGCATCTGCCCATCAGCATCGGTAGGAGTGACCACCGCATAGACCTTGTGGTGGAGACCAGCTCACGTTGTTGCACCGAGGACACGTAGCATCATGTCTCGTGCGGCACCACCACCGTGCTAAGCGGGGACAAATTGCGAGCAGATCTAGTAGCTCGAGAGACTGGGGCATCCATGAGGCGATGTGGACCATCATCAGCGACTAGATCGTATACCACCAAGATATTGAACCTCATAACCCAACATATCCTCACTCCTCCATGACCATCTTGCCAGGTGACCAACCCCGGTTCAACGAGGAGCATAGAGAAGGGCAATGCCAACAGCAGCAACATACCTAAACCTGGAGACGCTTCAACACAATTTTACTTGCTTGCTCGACAACAAAACCAACATGCTATAAACAGAGATAAGGGATCCCACAACCAACAAAGTTAAAGCTCTGCAATCCTACCACACCCAGCCAAGAATGGTGAACAATTTAGCAATTGACAGGGCCAGGTTAACATCCAGGCTTGGGCTGAAAAGTGGCCAATAACACAGCCCAAGCACCTTCCCTTGACATTCAATGGAATTACCATCGCAGAGTCCCACAGCCATCAACATTTTGGGGGTCACCATTGACAAAAAAATAACTCAATTGGACCAGCCACATAAATACCATGGCCACAACAGCAGGTCAGAGGGCTGTCTATCTTGCAGCAAGTGGCCCTATCTACTTTCTCCCCAAAGCCTCTCCGCTACTCTACAAGGGACAAGGCAGGGGTGTCATGGAGTACGCTACGCTTGCCTAGATGAGCGCAGCTCCGATGACACGTAAGAAGCTCGCCACCATCCAGGACAACGATCTGCTCTATTGGCACCTCGCCATGTGTAAATATCTACCCCTGCCATCCCTGGGGGGCGTCCTGCAGCTGCAGTGCGCGCACGGTCTCCAGAATGCACTGCACCAAAGCAGCTCCAGCAGCACCTCCCAAACTTAGCAACCTGTGTGGTGGGAATGCCACCCCAACTTCTAAATTCCCCTACGAGTCACACGTCAGCCCCGACCCAGGATATTTATTGCCACCGCTCAGTTCATCAACGCCGGACCTGAATCCTGAAACTCCTATTGAACAGCGTTGTGGGGAAGAGGGCAGCCCGGCTGCTACGACTGGAGCAGGGCACGGACAAATCCACGGCACTACCACCTCCTTGCGCATTGCAACTAGGGATGGGCAGTAAATGCTGGTCTACCAGCAACGCCCACATCCTATAGATACATTTTTTAATAAAACGTTAAGTATTGAATCTGTCTTTTTTTCTGTTCCTTAATGCAGTATTTATATGTAAATTTTCTAGGAAATGGGGGAGGGAGGGGAGTTAATATAATAAACAGTACAGCACACAGTTCACAGACATTTAAACATAAACATTCCCTGCAATTATACATTGACCTTTTTTTTGCTTTAAAACTCACTCAACTCCACACAGATTCTTAAGGAATCCAACTTTACCAACTTTTTCGCATGAAAAATTCCCAACCTTGGCAATTTCATAGAAATGACTTTCATTCAGCTCAGTTTCCTCAGCGCAGACGACTAGTTTTGCACCTCGCATCACCCATAACCTCGGCCACCGAACCCCATCCCTCCGCCTTTTGTGCTTCTCTTGATCTCGCTTGCGGAGAGAGCAAATTGGCAGGACATGGCCCACAAGGGTGCACCTCCTCAATCAAGCGCTAGCCTGCTTCGCACTCGCACTCTCGCCCTTCAGTGCATACCCACGCCACCCGCATCTCACACCGACACTATTTGCGCCTCCCATTAGCACGGTTGGCTACGTGCGGCGCGAAATAAGCTCAAGATACATACATACATATTCCAAACACCGCACACCATTGATCTTCCGTGCTTCCTACACACGCGTTACATCACATGACCTTACAGACCACAACACTACCCCCCGATGTTATATACATTCCTCTCAAACCCCACACCCAATCCCCCCAACCACCACCACGTCACGTTACAATTCAGATTTGGGTGCAGGTCGTCGTCGTTGTCGTCGTCGTGACTTTTCTTCCCAGCGGGTTTTCTCTTCACCGACGTTTTCCACCACTTTCCCGTGGCGACGCTGGCGAGACGACACCTCGCGAGGCTCCGCTGCGGTAGGGCGGAGGCTCAGCCGGGCTTGCGTGTGGCCAGAGCCTCCACCAGCTTCTGGCGATAGCCGTCGTACTTTTCCTGGACCTTGAGCACGTACGCATCCTCTTCCCGTTTCAAAATCCGCAGGAAATTCTGCAGCTCTGGGACGGTGAAGGCTTCCCACTGTAACAGGAGAGACACGGCACAGCGGGTCAAAGAGCCACTCAATGGGAACACAAGGGCACAGGGCCATTCATAACAAACTATATCAACAGTGCGAGTGCGTACGCGTGCACGCACATCTGCGACAATGGTGGCGTAGGCATTACTAAACGGCTCTATCATTCTGATTTGCACCCAAGTTCGATCGAGTACAATGCAGATGTCAGATGGGACATGAACCAGAATTGTGGCTCCCCTAGGTCAAATCAGTCTCAAATGGGTACCTCTTTGAGTGGCACGTCAACATCAGCATGAGAGATACAAAGGCGGCTAGGCATGGTGCTCACTCCAATATCCCCCCATGCACCATGCTAGCCTTTAACGGTGCTCCCTAACAAAACCATTTACAAATAAAAGATACAAGAATACATTGGAGAACTTGGTGCACGGATAGGTGCTCACCAACAGCACTAGGCCCTAACAGACTCCATGACTAGAGGGTCTTTGTGCTATTTTGTGTGTGAAATTTGGTCATGTAATGGTGAGTGCAATTTCCTGCAAACCCGGTGACCCAAGTTCAAATTCCTAGCCGCAGCGATAATAAGCAATGCCTGGGCCTGTCTTAGCCTCCCCGACTTATTCTTGAGATTTTAAATAAATACCTGATGAATCGTGTAAATACCGGCACCAGGGAGACAAAGGTGGCCGGCTGGTTACAGCGGCGTGGTTGTGCACGAGACATCCCCGCGTCCCGTGTATTTTTTTTATTTTACCAACTAGGGCCCACTGATCTATGTAGCAAATTTTTCAGAAGCTTATCACGTGGACATTTATAGCAGCGAAATCCTCCAAACGCACGTCGATTCTAAATGTGCAGGGCAAAACTGGAGGATCCGGAGAAATATCCACGCGACAACGGTGCAGATCATTCAACCTCCAAATATACAGCAGCAGGCGTCAGGGTCGGGATCGTAACCCACGACCTCCTGCATACCAGGCGAGGTAATTTACATCTCGCCACGGCGGCCGATGACTTACAATGACCTCGCCGGTCTCGTTCTCCTGCATGACGAAGCGCATTGCCGTCTGGTCGGGTCCGTTCAGCAGGCGCAGGTGCAGGGGGTTTTCCTCGTCGCTCAGCTTGCGCTTGGACACTGTGGCGGCACGGACAACGGAGAAAGAGACCACGTGAGACTGCCGTGCGTGGAGCCCCGCGTCGAACCGCGTGCAATCGACCGGCTCCCCAAACCCAACGCCCCCCCCCCGCCACGCTTCACATCACGATCGTACCTCTTCTGCAAGGCAACACGTGTGTACCAACAGATACGTCTCACAATATCTATCGAGATGAATCAACAAAAGGAGTCCTGTTGTACCCATTAAAAAGCATTGCTGTGGGAGGTGTGCGAATACGCGTCCGCATCTTGTAAAGGAGATTCCTGTATTTTATTGGGTGTCAATACATCATTTCCTTTCCAATACGGAGACTGTGTATTAACAGGTTTGTGCAGTGCCCAATGCAAGATGGATGTGTATTTCCAAATGCATCTTGCAATCCCTATTTGGATACATGATCATCTCCTTTGCAAGACATTTATTTACAAACAGATCTTGCATATTTTTCAAAACCACGGGCATTTACGTTTGCGAGTTGGATATAGATTTATCCTGCTTTTAACGCAGTGGGGGTAATGAGGCGATTACCTAGGATGGTAAATACGGGGAGAGTGCGGTGGTGGCTATGCATGTGGCCTGTGATCCTGCACTGTGGAGGGGCGAGTGTTGGTGGATCACCGCACACATGACAAAATGTTACGAGACTCCCTTCCCGTGGACATTGAGGTGCAATACCCCGACTTGCTGGCAGAATTCAGTACAACGAAGTGTGGACTGATATCATCTGTATGGGATCGAGTGTTGCCCCCTCGCACGTGTGGGTTTTCTCTGGGTGCTTCGGTTTACTCCCAGAGTATAAAACACTCACTAATTGGCTGAAAACATCCGAACAGAGAACTGCAGAGCAATTGTTGGTGCCGGCTCACTCCAATTTGCATGAAAGACGTAAAAGTAATTGTCGACAGAAAAGTTAGACTCGAGAAAATATCCTGAGAAATACTCGAGAACAGCCACCTGGGTAAGGAGTAAGCCAAGAACCAGGCAATGCTCTAACCCAAGCACAAACAACAATGGGGAAATCATCACCGAGTGATCCAGCACCACAGTTAGAAATGTTCTTGAGACACGATGAACTAATTTTAGAAGCCGACATGTACACTAATCGTGCCCTTGCAAAATTCCTATCCATGGTGCTGATTCGGTAGCAAGTTCAACGTCAGTCCCCCCCCTCCTAGAGCCGTTACACAACCCGGCTGCAGTCACATGATGTTAATAACGGGCTTGGCTTCAACAGTTTGTGAACATTTGCAGGTTCGATAACATTCACTGGCTGTGTAGTTTAACCAATTAAATGTTTTAAGTATATATTAAAATATATAAGTATATCAAATTTCCTTGCAGCCTGTAAAATATAATTGCTTTTATAGCGGTCATGTTATTACTTTAAACGCCATTAGTAAATCAACCTGGTGGTCAAACCTTAATGATTTCTAACCGTTTGATTACACAGGCCCTTAAACAATGTACAGGGTGCTTTGCAATGCTGTTGCCGCTAGGTGACCCCTACATTGATGTTTGGTTTAACTATGTATGGGCGCGGCGTGAGCACATGACGCTATGAACTCCGTGACATAAGTTTTATTCCTGACCACAGCTTTTACATAAGTGGCGAGAGATATCTGAATCTAACCTGGTCTCCTCCCCCCCATATTCACGAGCTAGCACTGACCATCGTGGTAAAGTATCGTCAAACAACCCCCATTGCAGACATGGCTTGAAATGACTTTGCAATTATTTTGTGTTGTTACAATGTGATATAAATGGCAGCTACAAGAGAAATATCACAGAATGTAGTTTAGAATTAGTATCCATCATTAGAATGATGGTGGCACGAGATAAGTGATAGCTAAAAGTGAAGGCGGTGAATGCTGTGCTGTTGCCCACTTTGTGTGATCCATCACAATCTGTCTTAATATTGGTTCAACCAATTTACGTTCAGTCAACATCTATTCAACCAAAGGTTACTTATTTACACAACTGGGGGTAGCAAACAGCACATTGCGGACACCCTGTAAAACAAATTCCATAAACTATTTTTTATTTTACCAGCTAAGGCCCACCGAGCCATATAGTAGTTATTTTTCAGAAGCAACCTGGTCACAAACGACAGCTCAACCACGTGACTTATCACGTGCAAATTTAAATCGGCCAAATACTCGCTTCTATTAAATTCCCCGCACTTTCGACAAAACAAAGTCTCCAGACCGACCGACCGACAACTTACCCTGCCCGTCTGGCCCTGAGTGCTGGAAGAGGGCGAACTTGCGTGGGTTGTCCATCACCTGGAACTTGCGGAGCAGCGCCTCGATCACCTCGCGCGCCGTGTTGGTGCTGCTCAGGTGGACCTGCTTCTCGGTGCCGCGTGGCAGGTAGAAGGTCGTGCGTCGTGCCGTGCTTTCGCACGTGCCGCTGCCGCCACCCCCCCCCGCCGGGCCGGGCGCCGCCACGGGCTGCAGCAGTGCATTGTGGGCCCGCCCGTCGTCCGCCACGGAGACGGGCCTCTGCAGGTTGAGCTGCACCTTGATGAAGCCCGTGAACGTCCCGTTCTCCTGCTGCGGGCGGGCGCAACGTGCCAACGGAGAGAAGGTCGGTAAGGCGATGACGACACTAATATCGTGTGACAAACTTTAAAAAAAGTAAATTAATTGATGAAATATTGCATTTGATTACTTTGTCTTCAAAATTTACACTCTCTTCTTGTGATACTAAACTATATTTTTTCCCCAGGTAACTCTACTGAAATATCAGCTCGTTTACATAAGCGACCTGGCCACAAACGATAGCTCAACGAAGTGGCTTAACATGTGGAAATGTATAGCAGCCAATTACTCTAAACGCACATTTATTCTAAATATGGAGGGAAAAACCAGAGGACTCGGAAAAAAAATCCACGTGACCATGGGGAGAACATGCAAACTCTAAATATACAGCTGTCGGGGTCTGAATTGGCATTGACAGCAGTGCACAAAAGTATCAATAACACAAAACTCAACATGGCAATAAGACTGCTAAAGGGCCATTGCCAAAAATGTTCCCTATCACATTTTTGTTTGTACTTGTGTGTGGTCAATTACTCAACCCCCTTTAAAAATTACGGTTCCAATTAATGATATCCCTCCTTGCGAAGGCTGGAAACTCCCTTCAATCCACATCCAGCGAGGACTTGACAAAGGGCTGTTTTGCTTAACTATTCGAATGATTTAAAAATAGTAATTAACTATCCCAATTTATAGGGAAAGCAATTTAACATTTCAAGCAAACACTCCAATGAGATCACGTAATTATGTGATTATTGTTGGTTGTAGCTTGTAATGATGGTGCCGTGACTGCAATCGCCGTTCAATGGTCTTTTGTTAAAACCTTGCGCCTTTCCGCTTTAGCGTGCGTGGCATAATGTCGCTGGCGAATATTTATTACGGCAATTATGAGCAAAGTTGCTGCTGATAGCAAGATAACTCTGAATATTTAATAAGTGTTCACAGAGCTTAAATATATTATTGCGCATGCGGTCTTTTTTTCGTGTCAACTTCGAGCCAGAGAAAATAACATGTTCACATTGATGACCGGGTTAAGATCATACATTGATGACTGTACTTTTTTTCATCTCGGGAATCATAGGAAGGGATTTTGGATGCAAACTTAAGTCCGCACTCTGGTTCTTACCCTGGGTACGAGCTTACAAGGGACCCAGCCTTGTGCCTCAACGCCAGAGTTCCTAAGTTAGCAGGTCGATAAAATATGAGTGGCCGAACGGTGGTCGAAGATTGCTTAGTGGCAGCGCGAGACCGACAGATGAGTGGAGGTGGTAATGATACGCCGTGTTAATGTTTTCCTAGTGATTGTATGTGCGCATTGATTTGGAGGAATCTTTGTGTTTAAAAAAAACAATTGTACGAGAGCAGTATCTGGGAGGTCTTGCTCTGTCCTATAAAAGAACCAATTCTCACATGGCAGCGAAATACGTGAGAATCATTATAGCTCATCGGATTCCTCCAGTATAAATAAAGATTCCGATTCTGAATCAGTACTTCTGATGTGAAACATACGGTGGACGACGTGCAAAGCTTGGGAGACGACCCACATGTGAGACATAAACATTAACAAAACACCCCACGGTGAAGTTATTGCCTTGTAACCATGCACCATGGCTGCGGGCCGTTCGCAAATAAACGCGGCGTGGCGCTTGAATCGCGCGCACGTGTGTGAGCGGGGGGGGGCCTGTCGGGACAGGTGCAAGGCCTCATCTCACCTGCACCATGCTGGTCTTGCTGCTGCTGCGCAAGTTGTACAGCTTGATCTTCTGCTCGATCTCCTCCCGCGACAGCACCTGGCTCTGCACCTGCTCCACCTTGCCATCCTGCAGGGAGGAGAAGTGGCATTGTCATTGGTGGCCACACGCTCGCTGGCAGCCTTGGACGGGCTGGCACAAGGGGGGCGGCGGTGGGAGCCGAGGGGGGGTGGCACAGTGTGGGCTCGATTCGTGGCTCGGGTTGCATTCGCAAGTTGGCTTTCATTATTCTTAGGTTTTTTCGGTAAAGTCACGTAGGTAAAAAATTAAAATTAAAACGAGACAAGAAGTCACAGCTTTTCGAGACGCTGGCCTTCCCTCAAGAGATGCCGAGATAACAAGGTAATACCCATCACTTTCCCACCCTCAACCAGTATATATACAAGGACTGTTTTCTTGGAATTTCTCTTACTTGATACAGCTATCGTGCTGTGACGGTTCCACCTGAAGACGGAAGCTTGTGTTGCCTCCGAAACGTCGTGATTTTTATTTTATTTTTATTTTACTTTTATTCATTTTAATTTTTACCTACGTGACTTTACCGAAAAAACCTAAGAATATGAATCCTTGCAGTCACGAAAGCTTCAAATCTAGAATGGCTTTCATTAATTGCGTATTTCATCACCGATGTCAACGCCGATCGTTTAAATCACGCTAACCGTGCAATGAGCTTTGGCAGAAGGAATGCTGCCATGGTGTTACGGTTTGCACATGGAACTTGCAATCCAGAGGTCGCCGGTTCGAGATTCCGGCTTGGGAAAGTTTCTTAAAATGCACGCACCTCTGTCCATTCAGCGGGATAAATGGGCGCACCACGCTTAAGTCTATCTGCAGGTCGCATCGCGTGTAGGTACTTCCACCTCTTCCAAAATATTTGGCCTGCGTGGAAGTAGGACAGAAACTCATCAAGAGGGGCTCTCTCTAGAGCTCCTTCTAGTGGAGGCCCTTCCCACCAGCAGTGCACGAGCAAGATATTACAAGGCTGCACGTTTATCTTACAGCACTCATAAGATATTGATACGGCAATTGTAAGTCATAACGGCGACACCTGTAACGTAATTATTATGCTCAATATCTAGCAAAAGCGATTGTTTTTGTTAATATAATCGTAATTTATTTACGTTACATATTCCGGGCCCAGCCAAAAGCCAAACCTGGGAACAAAAGCAGGGAGGTGACTTCTGATCGTAAATCTACTGAACATGAATTCAACGGCAGCACGCACCGAAATATAACGGCCACCTTGAGGCAACACCGAAATGGTCGGCTCCCATCTGTGAGCAGGTCCACACAAGAATAAAAATGAGCCAACAGCACGTGTGTGTGTGTGTGTGGCATGACAACCGAGTTTGCGGTTTTCATAGTTGAACCATCTCAACATTTCTGTAACGTTTGCAAAACCCACTGGCTTTTCAAAGGTTCGCTAAATCCCTCCTAGAGCATGAACGAAGCTCATTTTAAACGCTTGATGTTTGCGCCGCCCAAAATATGCGCTGCACAAAAGGCGACCGGGATTGTGACATTAAAATACCAGCAAATTACTCGCCTGTTTAAGGTTGACCGATTTACCACATTAAATGCTTTGTGCACGGAGCTAAATGCTAAATTCCATAGAGTTTCTACAAAACCGATCGCCCACTGACCCATTTTCTTCTTTTTATTTCCCCTCTTCCGCCAATGGCACTATCGCTCTTAGCCGCGTGGCCTGGAGGACATCAGACTTGAGGAATAGAGGTGCATTGTGCCGTGACTGTGAACGCCCGTTGTTGAAACTTTCCGGAGAAACCAACACGGCCCACATATACGCCCCTCCTCCCAAACCCCCAGTGCAATGTTAAGCCGTCTTAAACAAGGCTCTGCACAAGCCGGTGGGGTTTTGAAATCAAAAAATAAATTACAGAGCCGTGAGAGATCCATCACACACACGGGCGAGGATTCAGGAGGGGCGAGGCTCCGGGAGGGGTGAGGCACCGGAGCACGTCGTGTTCTGTAAATCTGCTGGGAGGGGGTGCAGAGCGGTGCGTGACTGGCGTGCGCTGGCGGCTGCGGTGAGGGCGACGCTCGGGGGAGCCGTTGACGTCAGCGCCGTGGCGGTGACACGCGACGGGAATCGGCGGGGCGGTGGCGGAGCCCTCGTTTGAGTGGCACCGGCGAGGGCTCCGGTAGCTGCCCACGACCGGTGGGGAGCGAGCGAGCACGAGCCAAAAAAAATGTTCGTGTTACCTGGAAACAGATGTGCCTCGCCGCTAGGGGACAAAGCGGATCCCATCTGAAGACCTGATAGCATGTTGTTATTATTATTTTATTGCCATGCAGCTCTGATGAGAAATACTGGTGGATTTTTTTTTAAGTAGGCTTTCAAATGCCAACGTACGAAGATTATTATTATTTGATATCGTAAACCAGGTTGGAATATTTTAAAATGAGAAACGATCAAAAGTTGAAACACCGATGTGAATGCACTCGTTTTGAAGGCACGCAGCAATCACTCGGCATATTTTCTGCACATTTAATATAATACAAATTACTGATGTTCGTCAGGATTGCATGTTGCTCGTATATATTTTTTTTATGAAGAACTCAATTACATCACAACACGTACAGCCCTTCATCACCCCACTACTGAATGAGTGTTACCCCTTGCCGTGCAGATCACGGGATCAAATAACACCCACTCTTATTCGATGTAATAATAAAGACATACATTGGCCTCTAATGTTAGTCAATACCCACTCGTAATGCCCCACTGTAGTGTCCGGCATGTACATGCAATATGTATGGAAAATCAATAGTGTGTTAGGTATTGCCTTTCATCAGTTTGGCTCTAAAATTTACTCTCTTCCTGCTTGGAACAACTTGTGTTAACTCCTGGAATCATACATGAGATGAGCGCTTGTAATTAACCTGCCATTAATCATGCACACACACACACAACTTTTTCACAAGCATTGACTGAAATTAAAAAAATACTTATGAAATGTATCCGGTACATCATCCTAAATATAAGTTGTGCGACTTAACTTTGTACACAGAGGTGAGTGTGCGTGTGTGTGTTTTTTTTAGTATTGAGAGAAATGTTGGTCAAAAAAGGTATTAAGTTTCATTCAGTAAATATGCTGAGTGCTGTACTTATTAACTGCTCTATGGGAGAAGTTGTGGCACAGTGGTTAGCACAGGAAGTCACGAACCTGGCTGGCCACCTGAGTTCTAATCCGGTCTGTGGTCAGCAGTGGCAAGCGATTTATGAACTGGTCTTAGGCTCCCCTTTTCCAACAACTTGCACCGACTAATACGGTGAAGTATAGTTTAAAAAAAAACACATTTGCCGAGCTTAATTTCCAGCTGGAGATCGGTTGACCCCCCTCTTCAAGGTCAAGAAAATGAGCACCACTTTGTGTGACGTCAATGATGATTGTCCCGTGGGTTATCTCAGCCCTGTCATGAGAATGTGGAATCTGCATCACTGTAAAACAGGGCAGGAGCCAACACCCATGAATGGGAAGCCACTTCAAATTCGTTGTTGCTTCTGAGCGACACGTAGGACAGAACTGCTAAACAATCAGCTATTTAACCACGTGCCCTCTAGCCCCGTACCCTTACATGAGCACTTTACACGTATGCACCACTGAGAACAGCTGCCCTGCCTCAATGTATACTTTAAGTTTGTTTCAGCTCTCAGTTCCTTCTTAATGTAATGCCGCAGACCAGACACGAGACATAAACACAAGAGATACACTTTTTTTTGTATTCCCCCCCCACCTTGTCATTATTTTAGTCATGTAATATTAATGTGATTCTGGCCCTCTCCCAGACGTGAGCCACATGGCTGCAAGCATCTGGTTTCAGAACCCAATAACCCAGCTCCCAGCAGCCTCATATTTCGCTCTCATATCCTCCTGGAAGCGGGAAACAGATGCTTCCGTATGCCAGGCCCCTTTGACAAAAGGAGGGCCCTCGCTCTGAAAACAATGAAGCGATCACTTTGTAATATACACCGCGACCGGCGGAAGGGCTGTTCACAATTACAAACAACATGCTCACACACCCACAAATAAATATGTTCACCCAAGCGCACAGCAAGCCCGAGAAAAAAGGCTTATTGAATATAAATGTTTAAATTGAAGCTAGTTACCAGGTCAGGGTCCCCAATTTAGATTGTCAGAGTTCATCTTCAAAGCCCGTTATCTGGTTTAATAATTATAATGCAGTAATTATCATTTGCAGGACTTGATAAATCCATTACTGCCCATGCCCTATTGGTAATGGGGATTGCGTGACTATATTTCGCCACGTTCGTCAGTGCAGATCGGTGAAGTGGTGGTGGTGAGGTGGGGGGGGGGGGCATCCCAAATAATATCCATGGCAGCTCCGAGGTTATTTTTTGGATCGGTAGTTTCACAGTGCGTACAAACGTACGTTTTGTCATTTTGGGCTCAGACGATGGAAAACAATGATCTGCTTTAGAAGATTATGAAGAGTCCTTGTCATAATTTCTCGTTCACGGTGGGCACATGCTTTTATGAGACTACCCTGCGGCAATTTACTGGGCGGCTGTGAGAAAGATCCGTCACCGCCAAGATTCTGCCCGTCTAAAGGAAGCAACACGACTTAAGAAACCTTATAAACTTATCAGCACTGGCAGAAGTTTCATTGGCTTTTTTTATAGATATATTCACACACATGCACATTGGGAGTAAGGATAATAAAGCAATGATTAATAAGGGTACTTACTACTTAACAAGAATACATTTAGGTGCATGGTATGAAAGCTGCCTGTGATCTGGAAAGACACTTTATTTAGCCTACGTAGTTATTCCACTATGAGACCTCCTTTACCAGTGGCAAAATATAGTGATAGGTTTTTACCCTTTCAACTGGTACAAAAACTGACACCTTTATACAAGGCATCATGTTTGCAATAACCACAACACAAGCAATCACAATGCAAACAAAAAGAAACAACTCTGATAATGATATGCACTGTCCTTGAAGTTGATTGGTCCACACCCGAGACAGCTTTTCTTAGAGCCTAGTCTCCATTGGTGTTGGACCAGATGACGCCTATCACT